ATTATATGTGTTTGTATGTCTGTGTGTGTCTGTGTGTATACTGATGTGTGCACCGATTGTTTATGTGTCCATATTACATGAAATCATGATCTGAGAAGCTTTTACCAAAAATGCAGTAAAAAAAAATCACAAAAAGTAAATTCCGCTTGCCTAAAACGCAATTATCTTAGATGACCTAGGTTGACCTTGACCTTGACCTTGACATCTGTACATCGTCGAACAACATGTTCCATGATAGGTGGGAGGTAAGACTGGCAAAAAAGCCCGAAATCAAGGTGTCAGAAGCTCACAAGGCCCATAGCCAACGCAAGATGTTGAAAATTGGCCATTTGGGTCATGTCATGACCTGAAAAACAAGGTCATATCTCCGAAACCAAAAACCACAGAAACTTGAAATTTTTAGTGGACATCAAGAAAGGATAGAGGAGCAGCTATACGAAAAATCAGCCTTCTAGCTCTAAAAATGTTGAGTGCAGAGCAGAAAGACTACCTGGGGGGTGGCAACCACCCCCCCCCCCCATGTGCGGGCGAGGGTTAAAGTATCAGGTGATGCTGTTCCTGCTTGAATCATTAAATCGATGAGTGTAGCGATTGAGCGTAGTAGGTAGACGGTCTATTCTAAATCAAAGTCCATTTTATTTTTGTTGAAATGCCTAGGTTACCTATCTAAGTAGCACCGTTCCATGCTTCTATCCTCAGGATACTGAAATCCTTCTCCTCCACGCCGCAACCCCCTCCGGGCTGGACAGGCAACTTTATCTCATGCGGGCTGCTCCCTTGGAGCGGCACCGCTGCCCCCGAGGGAGCGCACCCCGTAGCCGGGTGCAGTGAGTGCCTTGGGGCTGGGTGGCCTGTCCTCTGGACGGGCTCAGCCCCGGCGACTCACTAGGGTGCCTGCCCAGACCAATGTCTCCCCCTATATCCTATCATCCTCCCGGCTCTAAAATGGTCCCATTGGACCGAAAGGGCCTAACCCAACAAAACAAAAACAAAAACAAAAAATATCTAAGTCTTATAAATTGAGAACAGCCTCAAATTCCAAAATGATTGGTCTGTCATCAACATTGACGGTCCAAAATGTGAATCGATAAATGCGCTGTTATTTGTTTTAAATGAAAATAAACTGAAAAGATTAAGTATCGGCTTTCACTGCCATAGAGAAGATCAGATTCACTTTCAGACAGTAGCAAATCTATAATAGGTTCATAGCTGAGCAAGGTTATTTCTCCTCCCTCATTCCCTCTCCACTCGATGCAAAGTGGCCAGACACTTTCAGTGCCGATACCGGACCACAGCTGCCTGGCTAAACACAGTACGAAGCTGGCCACAGACGGGGCTTTTGCTCGGTTCGCGGCAGGTGCGAGGATTTGCAGAGCCATTTATGTGAGGCCCCGCGACTCTCGATGGCCCCCTTATGTGGGGCTTCAGCCTCATGCAAAGTCTTGCCCGTGGTGCATCCAGAATTTACGGTGAAGTTATTAAAAGCATATATAACTGTAGAGTAACAGGTATGGCGCATCACTGTTGCATTTACCTTAGCTTTGGGGGAGAGCTTCCAACAATAGAGCTACCATAGCTACAATTTGGACAGCCCTTACACACACATTTGTACAACGTTCTTTGCTCACTTTTTTTAAGTAGATTCATACCTAATAAAGTTACAAATAATCACCCGCCTTTGACAGCATATAGCCGACATAAGCCGGATACCTGGACTCTACGTAAGTTAGGCAATGTCATTTAAGCGCTCCCGCGCGTTGCAAGCTGGTTGTTGTTGTTGTTGTTGTTGTTGTTGTTTGTATGTTGATCTTATTCGGATTTAAATTTAAGGTTTGCGGTATGGTGCGTAAATGCTACCAACTTATGTGAAAGCTACAATAATAAGAGTAGGCTCTAGCTGATACACCCTACTATTGAATTAAGTTTTCACTTTGCTGTGGGTAAGATAAAATGAAACTCACTAAAGTGTACCTTTATTACTGTTTCACAATGACGATCACACGAGGAGATCCAGCTGTTTGTATTTGTATTGTATTTGTATTTACATTTAAGAGCGATCCACATACAAAGTGCGTGGCGATTACTGCTACGTGTGCGTCCCATGACATAGTGCTGTCAAAAGTGACGCCAAGGTTCCCGACTTGTGCGCACGGTTGCAACGCTGCGTTGCGGAATGGTACTCTAAAGTCTGGTAATTTACGAAGATTTTGACGAGTGCCAAATACAATAAGCTGTGTTTTACTTGCGTTCACTTTGAGGGCGTTAGCGCAAAACCAGTCGTTGAGAGACGCGAGCGAGTCCTCCATGCGCGAGATGAGAACTTCGAGGTCCCGAGCTGGACCGCTAACCAAGACTTGAGTGTCATCGGCATACTGAAACACTTTTGCGTCGCCCGCGTATAGCGATAAGTTGTTAGAGAAAATGGTGAAAAGAAGCGGCCCTAACGCAGAGCCCTGGAAGACACCCATGGCATTAGAAAGAGGCCTAGACAGCACTCTACGTCCGGATACATCTTTCAAAGACACGCTCTGAGTGTGTCCATGTAGATAGGCGGCGAACCAGGAAATTTCAATGCCGTGTAACATCAGTTTTTGCATCAGAAGATCGTGGTCAATCACGTCGAAACATTTACTGAGATCGAGAAGGCATAGCATTGACAAATCCCCCCTATCAGTGGCGGCCAGGATGTGTTCAGTGACAGACAGCAACGCGGTTTCCGTGGAGTGCCGGGGGCGGAAGCCGTGCTGGGAGGATGCCAGAAGGTGATTATGGGAGAGGTAGGCGTAGAGCTGCTGATGGACAATGCGTTCAACTACTTTCATGATTACAGGAACTAGGGAAATGGGTCGGAAGTTTGCGGGGTCTGAAGGGTTACCAGACTTGAACAGAGGGTGAACTATGGAATGTTTCCATGAATCGGGGATGTCAGATTGGATTAAGCAGGTATTGATAATATGCAGGATGACACCACCAATAGCGGGGAATCCGAATTTCAGCATGCGGACACAGACGTTATCGGAGCCGCAGGCACTCGAGTTACGCATGCTGAAAATAATCCGCTCGAGCTCCCCCAGTGTTATCTCACGAAGTTGAAAACTGCATGCGCCGACACGGGTGAGACGCACATCCAAATCGGTGGGAGTGTTTTGGGCTTGGATCTCGTCAGCGACACGAGGACCGACAGATACAAAAAATGAATTTAAATCATCGGCAGATAGATCGGGCTGGACGTCTGGGCCGTCCTTCTTCGCGGCTACCACTGACCTGATGCACTGCCAAACTTTGTTGGGGCCCCGCTCCCCAATTTCCCTCCGTATCTCTATTCGCCTGTCTCGACGCACTGCCGCCCGGACTGAGCGGTTTAGGTCTCTGTATTCGCTCGAGTTGCGGCCTAGATGGCGAAGCGCAGCGCGACGTTGAGACATGAGGTTACGGGTGGCGGCGGAGACGGGAGGAGCGGTCGGGTTACGGATAGACACACGCTTGATTGGGGCATGGGCATCAAAAACAGGTACGAAGAACGACAAGAAAGCATGCCACTTGTCACTGACAGTTTCGGCAGAGAAGACATAATCCCAGTCGACATCGAGTAAGTCGTGATACAGTGCAGGGTGATCTAGGCGCTTAAAAGAGCGAGATGAGATAACGGCGGGCTTTTGACGCACTTTCGGCACATTGACAATCACGTCGATGATTTTATGGGGACTGAAGTGACAATAATTAACGCTGGTGTCACACACAAGTTCGCGTTTGTTAACAATACATACATCCAATAGTGAGCCGGAGGTAAAAGTTGGATTTGTTACTAGTTGATCTAAAGAATAATTCGATAAGAAGCTGATCAGATGTTGAGACGCGCGGAAATTCGGCCCCTTCAATAGGTCACAGTTGAGGTCCCCGCAGAGAACGAACGGAACTCTGGGGTAATCGATGAGGACCCGCTGCAGCTGGGCCTCGAGGTCCGTGAAGTCGGCGAGCAGGGCAGCCTCAGAGTGTCGGGGTGGCCGATAAAGGGAGCAGATGATTATCTGTTGGCCCTTGTCCAGCTTCAGCAGCGCCCACTGCGACTCCAGTTTGCTTTCGGAGCTCCCGCTGCCGGGGATATATATGCCGGGGGTTTATCAGTTACGCGGCTCAATGTGCCGTGCGTTGTTTCCGATCCTTACTACGTCCGGTGGGTAAATACGCTAAATCGCATGTGTTGTTTACATTTCACTTCAACATATACAGCACGTTCCCTGACGGCTGATCATAGTTATGTAGGTACTCTCCTCCCCCCCCCCCCCCGAAAATAAGATGAGTATGTAAGGGCGATTGACGTTTTGCATGAAATACAAGTTATAACATGAGAAAAGTAGCGAATAGTGCGCTAATATGAAAATATATTTACAGTTTGTCTGCTGTTTCTCCTGCCGTTCAGTGGTGTTCAGTGCTGTCTACATCCAACGCATTTCGACATTGTGAAAATATCAAGTATGAATGGTACAGATCGTGTGCACAATTTAAAAACACTGCAGAGATGTTTCAGACTTTCAGATATGCATGGCATCTTTATGACGAGTTATTTGTTGTTGCATTTATCTCTTCCTGTATGAAAAGTTCTCAGTGCTTGAGGAACGAACGTAACTCTTTGAATCACTCTTTGTGCAGGTCGGATATGTTTTTCATATTGTACCTATGTTTATCAACAAATCATCGTGGTACCTAATATTTTATAACGAGCACATATATCGTCAGCGTTACATCACTACTCTATGTGACTTGTGACAAGCTACTTTTTCACTTAAAGTTACGAATATTCGACATTGAACTTTGTATTTCTATATATTTCTCAAAGCTTAGGTACACACAGCTGCACTACAAAAGTTTTTTTTTGACAGCACAGTGCTGCGCATGGTTTTTGTTTCGAAGCATACAATAAGTAGGTTGCCCTACCGAAAGCTTTATGTTGGCACATCACACCACTATCAGTTCCGCCCCGTCCCCTCCCTCTGCGCCAGGCCATTGACGTCTGGATCGGCTCCTGCATGTTCTTCGTGTTCGGGGCGCTGCTCGAGTTCGTGCTCGTCCACCACCTCGCCAAGAAGCGCAAGCGCAGGGGCAGCCAGCGCAAGTCCTTCAAGGCCATGTTCTTCGGCAGCGAGGAGCCCGAGGTGCTGGACCAGGGTGGCAAAAAGGAGACTCACCTGGCAGAGGCGAAGATCGTCGACCGCATCTGCCGCGTCTTCATGCCATTCGCTTTCATCACGTTCAACTTTGCCTACTGGTGTCACTATGGGCTTGGCTAGGGAACGGATGCGGCCTGGCACACAACGACAAGGAATGCGGCCGATTTTTGTATACACCCGAGACACACATAAGAGATGGGTTGCGGAGCGATGGTTTATGGGATGGTGTTTTACCGCGCTACGGCAGTCACGTTAACTGGTGTTCACTAATGGCGCTAAGAGCTCATAACATTCTGGGAAATGTCTTCGCCTTTGCTTTTGGGCATTGCTAACGACATGGGTGAGCTACATAATGGCTACATATATGTATACTCTAGGGGAAAGTGGGTGTATTGCGCCCTCCTAACCAATTGCGCCCACCAGCATTCCCACGGATTCAATGGCATGCTTAGAATTTTGTGTTCGAAAACATTATTTTCACCACTGGATAGTTCATTTTAACGCCCAAACTCTCCGATGAAGCCAATCAGCAAAGCTCATTCCGCCATCAAAGATGTTTTGGCGTTTTCTTAGCTTTTTTGCAGTATTTTGAACCGTTGGCTATACAAATTTTTGATGTTTGTGTGATTTTCAGAGTGATTTTTAGAAAGAGAATCCCTTTTTTCATTGTATTTCACTGAAACAGTAAACTTCCTTCAACATCTTTATGATAACTTCTACGCTTTTATTAAAAAGTACCTTAATTTTAATTGCGCCCATGGCAATTGCGCCAGGGGGGCGCAAATATAATAATGGTGTAGCTATTGTATCACGACAGTATGAATGCATCATTAACTGATTGCAATAAAGGAGGAGTTTAATGTCACGCAAGGGAGCAGCCCGCTGTCGTCATTTTGCAAATTATTTCCCTCGTCAAACTTATAATGCAGCTGCCATTTAGGCTACGACTTGTGGTGTAATTGATAAAATAAGACATTTTCAACATGGACTCAGGGGTGAGAAGTCACAGCTATGATAAAAAAGTAAAAACTGATGTCATAAAGTTGTCAAAACGATAAAAATTATTAATTTTGAGAGAAACGATTGAAAATTTAACTGTATAGGCGCATACGTTCACATATATCTAGTCGGTTACAGTAAACGTTTTCGTTGCACTTCTACAAGCGTACGGACACATGTAAAGTTATCTACCTGGGCAAAAAACATCGCGATTTATATCTACATTTATTATTTATCCAGCCTGAATAACATTATAAATGTTAAAGTAAGCCGCAATGACATTAGACTGCCGGGGTGTATGCATTCCGTCTCATTCACTTAGCCATGTTAAAGTATAAGGCGCAATTGGGTTCTAATTGCGCCATCCCCCTGGCGCAATTTACTGCAGCTGTTGGCAAATGCGCCCTTTTGCATGTTTTTGAAAAAGCAGCTGTCAGAAGCAAACGAAACATTCTTAATTGATCGGGAGGCTCTTAAATCGTAGCCAATGAGTTCCTCTCTGAAATGGTTACCAGTGCATGCTTATATCTCCAGCGGGTTTCTTACAATTAGCGTTTTTCCTTAAGGTGGCGCAATTCACCCTCCTTCCCCTATACAGTGGGGTGGCTTTACGTATCGCTGTAACCTACAGTTAGTATTGGCACATCTTTTAGCGCCGAGTCGAGCTCATGATGTCTGCCGGACCTGGGAATGTTGTACTGTGTTATCAAACCTCGAGGCTGTGGGGTGAGTGCCCCACTCTGTAGTCCGTGTGTCGACTGAGAGCCTCGTGACTCGGCCTGGCGGTGGAATTGGCGAGAATCGGTCTTCTGTGTCGACCAGATATGAAGGCATCTATGTCACTGTCATGACTTCCGATTTCTCACACCAAATGAGCTGAGGATATGGATCACGTCGATAACAGCCTTCGCCGGGTGTAAATCATATCGAGAAGCTGGGCTAGGCTTTAATACCAACAATAGGGAATTTTGTAAACACATTAGTCAATTCTTTAGACAATAGAAGTTGAATGTGAGTGATGTCATTTGTATGCATGGTCTTAGCTTCATTAACACTGCTATCTTATATCATCGATTGACCTCACTTTTTGAAGTGTCCGCTGATTGGAATTTTGCGTTTTTACTCATTGCTGTTTATAATTTTATCAGAATGTGCTTCTTTTAACCCTCGCCCGCACATGCCATTTTCCCATCCTAGAACGCACATGGGGGGGGGGTTGCCACCCCCCCCGCGCCATTTCGTTGCCTTTCTCTGAATGTTAAAAAGTGTGTTGTCCTTCGTTTTCACAGGAAATTCCACGCTCTCCCCCCTCCATGTTATCACATCTCCAATGCCCCAATCCAGGTTGTCCACTCCCACACCGACCTTGGCGTTGTAGTTGATTCAGACTTGAAGTTTCACAATCATATTACAGCAACGGTTTCAAAAGCCGCGGGTCTAACTCAGAACCTGCTTAAATCTACTGTTTGCAGGTCCCCGGACTTTATGATGACACTCTTCAGCACGCACGTAAGGCCTTTGATCGAGTACTGTTCTTGCGTGTGGCACACCGGATACGTGGGTGACTTAAGGCTCCTCGAGTCAGTCCAGCGGCGTTGGACGAAGCGCGTCCATGGTCTCGGCAACCTAGATTACTACTCTCGACTTAAGGCCCTGAACCAATTTTCGGCCAAGGGCAGGCTCCTCCGAGCTGACATGATACAATGCTGGAAACTCTTCCATGATAAATGTTCAATCAAACCTTCGGATATTTTCGTGCTCTCGCCATCCTCTGGAACCCGAGGCCACCACTTTAAGTTGCCACACGTCCGTCCCCAAACAGATTTACGTGCCAGATCATTTAGTGTCCGCTGTATCACTCCATGGAACTCTCTACCGGACGAAGTAGTGTCTGAACCAGATTTAACCAGGTTCAAATCCATGTTATCTGCGACGCTGGGTGATACCCTGTTTGTATACTAGTCTCTAGTGCGTATCTAAATGAATTGTGTCCCATGACCGTTAACTGTGTTCCGATTATAATGTTGCTGTTTGTATCTTATCACTCTTGTAAACTCATTCATTTGGCACTTGTGGGCTCACTTTCCCGTTTGGATGTGTTCTCATCCATCGGGCGAGCTCTTTCTATGCGGGTTCCTTCCCTTCTCCCCATCCCTGCATTCATTTTGGCTACTCTCAGACCAAGGGAACCCCAAACAGGTGAGTTGAACAGGTGAGTTGTTGGAGATAGAGCCTCGCGGTAGAGACCAAAAAGATTCTTTGGAAAGAGACGAATCCAATGATACCCAGTTTTACCTTCTCAGGTCAGTCATTGACCTTCCAGGTCAGGTCAAACTAAAAAATGTTGGTGTTTTGGGTCACCGTTGGATATCAAGTGCGCTGCTCCTATCATATACCGATGATGATGCCGTTTTCTGGTGCCAAGCCAGCTAGAACCTCTTTGTCACACTACCCGACCAGATTTTTGCTGCTGAGGTCATTTCAGGTCATGTTAGGTCAAGGTCAATGATATGTGTTTGTATGTCTGTGTGTGTCTGTGTGTATACTGATGTGTGTACAGAGTGTTTATGTGTCCATATTACATGAGATCATGATCTGAGAAGCTTTTACCAAAAATGCAGTCAAAAAACTTCACAAATAGTAAATTCAGCTTGCCTAAAACGCAATTATTTTAGATGACCCAGGTTGACCTTGACCCTGACCTTGACCTCTGTACATCGTTGAACAACATGTTCCATGATAGGTGGGAGGTAAGACTGGCAAAAAAGGCCGAAATCAAGGTGTCAAAAGCTCACAAGGCCCATAACCAACGCAAGATCTTGAGAATTGGTCATTTGGGTCATGACATGACCTGAAAAACAAGGTCATATCTTCGAAACCAAAAACCACAGAAACCTGAAATTTTCAGTGGACATCAAGAAAGGATAGAGGAGCAGCTATTCGAGAAATCAGGCTTCTAGCTCTAAAAATGCTGAGTTGAGTGCAGAGCAGAAAAACTACCTGAGGGGTGGCAAACCCCCCCCCCCCCCCATGTGCGGGCGAGGGTTAAAAGCTGAGAAAAAACAATTCAACACGTTTAACAGAAAGGCGAACAAAATGACGTGTGCAGACCGCAGAGTCATGCATCTGTTTTTATGTATCAGCGTTTTTTACTGTGACAGTCAATCAGCTTTCGTGTGCGACTTACTCGTGTGCATCGGATCCTGATTATTTTGTGTTGTATGTATATAAACGTTTACACTGCATGATGTCCTTACATTAAATTCTTAACGATACCTTCATCTTATTGTAAATTGTCATGAAAATGCTCAAACCTGATGCTATTTTCTAACGTTTATAGGAACCTCTGTTGTCAATAAATGGTATCCAGTAGGATTCATTCAACCCTTTGCTCATTCATACCGTGTGCTCTACGCTATAGGATAAAAATTCCCGAATAATTTGATTTAGGGAAAACAGAGAAACTTGTTACATCACACAAACATGGGTACCACCTAGGCCGTCACTTTATTGATTGGTTAAAAAAGCGATGAATACCATCCATCCGGCTACCTATCAGTACAAACAGTATTGCTTACAACGGACATCGCGTAGCGCCGATGTACAGAAGGCCGTTAACTGTGCGAAGCTTTCAGTCCTGCTCCAGCCGAACCAAAAGCCAAGTAGTCTCGGAATCCTCCTGTGATCACAACCACTCGCATTCAGTTGACGCTCGATGCCACTTTGTACACGGTGAAAAAGAGCGGCACTTCACCGGGGCGTTCTCTCAGCTCTGATCACAGACGCTGACAGAAGCCCACAGAAGGCCACATCACCGTGCGTGGAGCTCTCAGTCTCCAGCTAGCCGCTACACTCGACCTGGCGGCGGCACGCGGCCGACCGGCGATCACGATCGCGCTCACAGACCACATGGACAGGCCCTCATCTAGGGGACACGGCAGCCCTGCAGGCGCGGCAGGGCGCCGGGAGGGGGAGGGGGAGAGGGAGGGGCGGAGGTCAGGCGCTGAGGGGGGCCGGGCTGGGAGCGGCGCCGCGTGGAGACCGGACGGCGGCGGCGCCTACTTCAGCACGGCGTAGATGGACTGGATGTAGGCGAACACGCTCTTCCAGTCGGGCTTCTCCATGGAGACCATGTCGTCGGCGTCCAGCAGCGGAAAAATGCCCGCCCGCTGACTGCCGAGCGGGGAAAAACAGCGTCAGCGGGGAAATACCTAACCAGAAACTCTGCCACTGACTAAACAGAAAATAACATTCAACTATGAACATCATTAGTTTACGGTTGCGTAGAAACACATAAAAACATGAAAGCATGAAAAGAAAGAGGCTCAGTATTCGACATCATCCACTTCTCAATTGCCAATAAGATTCCTAATTCGGTGCCCCACTTCCTATTTATCTCCTGTTGCGCGACAGTGTTTTCTTCCAATTGTTCCCCTTACAGTTCTCGGATTCGCTATTATGGGAGCGCATATTACTTTTGTAGCGCAATATTCAGCGCGCCGACCAATCATATCGCACAAGACCAGTGTCAGGGTGGCGTGATCAATCGGTAAGCAATAGAGGTTGGCGTTTCTCTGTATTGGAACATTGGCAAACAGCCCCGCAGACCACCAATATTGGGCAGATATTTGTAAGTGCTGCCACAAAAGAAGTTGTTTCCGAGAGAACGCGAGTTCTCGGGAACTCGTGTCTCGTTTGGTACTCACTCGGCCGTCCTGAAGGCTAGGTCGAAGTTGTAGCGCCGGTTCCTCGGGTCGAGCTTGTTGAAGTCGAAGGCGTCCGGGAAGAAGTGATGGATGAGCGCGCAGAAGGCCATGCCGTCAGCCCAGCTGGTGGAGAAGTTCTCCACCTTGATCGTCTGAGGAGAAAATGCATGCCGGAAAAATGCCAAAATGTTGGTGTCAGGGGCTAGCCTAGGGTGCTTTAGACCTAAAGATCAGCAATTTGATGTACCACTGGACATTCAAGGCCATTCACTGCCGCTTAGGAACTAACCAGATGGTGCAAACTACGACTTAAGAAAATTTCATATCTTTATTATCAAAACTGCATCACATGTGTCATATAGTATGCATGTTCTTTTGGGGTCCCGACTCTCGATAGTAACTCTACATACTTTCTTCTGTTCTTATCGCCATGTCAGTGCGGGTCAGCAGTTATAATGATGAATGGCTAAAATCTGCCCATTCGTCAGCATGCATTCGTATTTTTCGCGGTGCAAATTTGTCTGGTAAATACCATCTTAGCTAAATCAGACCGGTCAAAATATTCCTGATTTTCAAACGTATAGCTTGTTACTTTGTATGGCGCTTATGCTGCTTAGTGACTGCTTAGGCATACACTTCAACTGACATTGTGCGTAAAACAAGATACAAAATACGAAACGCATGGAAGGACATTGTGCCTATATACATAACATACCTTGTAGTCCCTCAGCCGGCACTGGACCCAGAACAGCATGACCTCCTTAGTTCCCTTTCCCTGGGGCACGCAGTCCAGTTCGAAGCCATCACTGCAACAGAGGGGCACAGTCTGACGTCAGGAGCGTCACAAAAACCCTCCCTCATGGACCCACCCACACGCTCATATTCGCTGCACAGAGAGGCATCTGGCAATATATACTGAAAAAGCAACAATATTCTATTTTGAGCAAGGCGAGGACCGAGAACTGACGTTATTCACCACGCGTTTCTGCGCCTGGCCTAATATCATGCTGCGATTGGAAGAAAGAATCATCTATCACCAATCATATGCTTGCTTTCCCACGCTCCCCTTACGAAGTAATGTCGTCCTGTGTCCAGCTTGTATGAAGACATAAGATATGTCAAAGAAAAACACTTTCTTAGCTTCTTTGCAAACGGCTTACGAAATTCAAGAGTTAGGGTATTTTAGTGTATTTTGCATCGTTCATCTATTGCAAGCATTAGCTTCATCGTGTATGTATGTATTGAAAACAGTGGTCTTACGAGTATACCATCATGTTAGTCAGCTTTGTCATGCATATGTAAATCGTCAGCATGTGCCTAACAGCAGCAGCCGGTGGTGATGCATCACGTCTGTGCCAGAACTCAGGCGTGACAGCTTAACGTCCCGAAGTTGTGGAAACTTTCCGATCAACAGCAATATCTGATAATGGGCCTGAATGGCTGTCGTGCAGAGACGCACCGGACACTGCACATCCACGACCCCAATGCCCTCTCCTCCACCACACCAGAAAGACATTAATGACCGGAGAGGGAAGCTGGCTAGCACGGTCTCTCCCTCGGTCGACTCATTTACGAGTACGCCAGATGCGTTTCCAGCTAGTACGTGACCAGCCGCAGATGAACCAAATGTCTCGCTTTGTATTGAGGTCAGCCACCCAGAGAGAAGCCAGCATCGTGTCGTGGTGATGACGACCGCCGAGCGATGGGTCTGGATTTCTGGAAGTTTGTGCGACCCAGGGCACAGGTATTGGGCTAGACAAAGATTGGGTGGGTCAAACCGGCTTGGTTACAGTTACAGTGCATGCGCTCGTTTCTTTAGATGGTATGTTTTAGGAGCATTCTGTCACTACGGGGACCGTTTCGTAAGCCTTGTGGTGGCCTCTCCGAACCGATTAGGCGTGGATGTGTGTACAGACGGAGTGCGGACCCACCACCCGGCTACATAATTTCGCTGATGTCATGGCGGTGACGTCGTATGTAATGGACTTTAGGAACGTAACATTGAAACATTAAGGCCTACGCACACTGCGTTCGGCTTTCCATTAACTACGCAGATCATGAACACAAAAAGTACTTACTTTTTCTTTTTCCCAGCAGCCGGATCTGAAAAGAAGGAGGAGCATGTTAGTTGAGTGCCAAGAAATAAACAATTCACAGGAACAGAAAAGTTAGCAACCAGTTGGTCTACTAGGCTAACATTCGGCTTTCACTTCTCGGCTACGGTCGTGTGTATTATGGCAGCTCCTGGTGCGCCTCAGAGAGCTGCGATATGACCGGTCCCGCAGAGGCCGATATCGGCCACCCATCCGATACATATAGGTGAGCTGTGCCGCCCTCTGACGCTGCAACAAGCAGCTCATAAAAAGTAACAACTGCGGCCGGCCGCAAATGATGCCAGCCGCGGAGCTCATCAAATAGTAATGCAATCCAAAGTGCCTTGTCATTTATATTTCAGGATCATATCTACCATTGATATTTTTATAAGCTGGCACAGAACGCAATATTTCGTAATGAGACATTCTTTATAAATTGCACAATGGATAAGTAGCTACCTAACTTCTAGCTATACATAGGAACCGCACATGACTGGGAAAGATATCGCAAACTGTCCTATCTGATTGTCGTTGGTGGCCGAGCTTATTTCGGAACAATGGATGTCTTGCTAGAAACACATGCATGTTGTTAACCCTCGCCGGACCTATTGGTTTTCTACATACGCGCCGGCCGAGGGGGGAGGCGGGTACGACCCCCCCTCGCCGTTTCGCCCCTGGTGGAGCTAGCGCGTCGCGGAAAAAACGAGCGTGTGCGCCGTTAAGAGACGCAGAGATTGGTACCCGATTTTAAGGTCCTAGGTCAACCGGTGACCTCTGAGGTCAGGTCAAGTGCCCCAGAATACGGTTCAGTTTTTGGTGAATAACTTCGCAAAAAACGGCCGCAGAGCCGCGATTTTGGCAGCATCGTGTTTGCCTTGATCAGGCGCGTCGAATGATATACTTTTTGTCCGGGTCAGGTCAACTTGGGGTGTTGACCTCAGGTCAAGGTCAGGTCAGCACCCCCAGGTCACGAAGTTGGTCGAAAGAGGTCATGTCGCATATCATTCGATTCGTCAGGTCTTCCTGAGTCCATTGGTGGCTTTCCCGACTCGCTAGCTCAATTTGATCGGGAGTTTTTGACGAAAAACTAATATGACCTTGATGACGTCATAAATGACGTCACGGAAGGTCAACATTGCAAAAGTGACGCATCTAACCTTGCAAGGAGTGCATCAAACCACGATTCTGTGTGCTTGAGATAGTTGGAGATCGTTCCCGGCGCCAGAATAGCAGTTTGAATTTTTCCCCATTGACTTATAATGGTGAGGTCACGAAAATGACCTGACCTCATATGACCTCTAGGAAAAATCCGAGATATACAAGTTGTGAGACTCGTAATGGATACTAGATCCTGCAAGTTTCATTTCCCTGTGACATCTCCTCTGGCAGTGAGGGCGTTGCGAAGTTGCGACATCTGAAGACCGTGCAGAGGTTCACTTATGACGTCATAGGTCAGTGACCTGACCTGACCCAAAAATGTGGTTGGTGTCAAAACATGCGGCTTGGATCAAAGGTCAGGTATGCCAAGTTTCAGCTCTCTATCGCCAGCGTGTTCGGAGCTATCGCGAAAAAACCCTATGGGGGGGGCGGCACCCGCCCCCCCCCCCTCGGCCGGCGAGGGTTAAGGTAGATCACTGAGACATGAGACCTGGCTGAAGCCGGCGCGACCAGTGGTCGATAAAACTTCCAACGTGCCAACGCTCGTTGGAGCAAGATACTTTAGCAATACTTGGAAGAGCTGGAGACAGTCCGCCCATCTACATGGATGCTTCCTTACGCCTAAAGTACAGCATTGACTTATGACTTACTAATCGTCCGGTGCTGTTATCGGCTGCTCGGTACCGCGTGTATGTTCCCTCATTCACTCCTGGTCACCCTTCGGTCACCCCTCGCTGGGTCGGGCCAGTCGGCTATTTTTATCCTCTTTCCGGCTAGGCCATCCGCTGAGCTCCCGCCGTGCCGCGCCGTCTGCGAGGGACCTGACCCTTCTGCCGGCAGAGGTTTCTCCAGGTGTCTCCAAGGAGCCATCGTAGCGCTAAGGGTGTGCTCCGCATACACATACATTGATTTTCGCCCTTACTAGCAGGGTCGCTGGCACGCGTTGGCAGCGCCCTGCGGGCATTTTTTCGCTTAGGGTCATTTTGTGGTAAGGAGGATCAGAAAGTCACCCTTCCAACTTTCTCCAGGCCTGGGTGTTTTATCGAGCGCGCCTGAAAACGCACAGTGGACCGAAATCACACTTCGATTGCGTTACTTCGTATTAGGTAATACGATAAAAAGTCCGCTCTTTTCTCAATCAATAAGGACAAGTGCGTTAAAGCACACATATAAACTTTTAAATCAAAAGCTTTAACCCTCGCCCGCACATGCCATTTTCCCATCCTAGAACGCACATGGGGGGGGGGGTGGTTGCCACCCCCCCCCCCGCGCCATTTCGTTCCTGTTGGAGATAGAGCTTAGCAGTAAAGACCAAAAAGATTCTTTGGGAAGAGACGAATCCAATGATACCCAGTTTTACCTTCTCAGGTCAGTCATTGACCTTCCAGGTCAGGTCAAACTAAAAAATGTTGCTGTTTTGGGTCACCGTTGGATATCAAGTGCGCTGCTTATCAAATACCGATGACGATGCTGTTTTCTGGTGCCAAGCCAGCTAGAACCTCTTTGTCACACTATCCGACCAGAATTTTGCTGCTGAGGTCATTTCAGGTCAATTTAGGTCAAGGTCAATTATATGTGTTTGTATGTCTGTGTGTGTCTGTGTGTATACTGATGTGTGCACCGATTGTTTTTGGGTCCATATCACATGAAATCATGATCTGAGAAGCTTTTACCAAAAATGCAGTAAAAAAAAAACTTCACAAAAAGTAAATTCAGCTTGCCTAAAACGCAATTATCTTAGATGACCTAGGTTGACCTTGACCCTGACCTTGACCCCTGTACATCGTCGAACAACATGTTCCATGATAGGTGGGAGGTAAGACTGGCAAAAAAGGCCGAAATCAGGGTGTCAAAAGCTCACAAGGCCCATGGCAAACGCAAGATGTTGAGAATTGGCCATTTGGGTCATGACATGACCTGAAAAACAAGGTCATATCTCCGAAACCAAAAATCACAGAAACTTGAAATTTTCAGTGGACATCAAGAAAGGATAGACGAGCAGCTATACGAAAAATCAGCCTTCTAGCTCTAAAAATGTTGAGTGCAGAGCAGAAAGACTGCCTGGGGGGGGTGGCAACCACCCCCCCCCCCCATGTGCGGGCGAGGGTTAAAATGCTAAATTTCAACATCTCTAAGCTGATGATAATCGTTAGTTATTTCAGGCTTTGGCGCGAAAACGTAGGCATTCAGATCCACCGTGCGACCGGTCACCGTATGCAGTAGTGTGATGGTGTGAGTTGGGGAATCAAGGCCGTATGGGGAGAAGGTGAGGAGATACCGGTGTGCCGACGCGGTGGATGGCAGTGAATTTTCAGGATAGGTAGCAAAAGGCTCATTCCCAGACGTTGTGCCAAATTTTGCGGCGCTACGCGACGCTAACTTTTACGCTATTCGCGAAAAAAAACTTAGGGAGGCTGCCCCCCCCCCCCCCGCCAGTCGAGGGCTAAGTTGGAGACAGTGATGGGACTAAGATGTTCGTTGGAGCAACTCCAAGCATTTTATCGACCTCTGGGCGCGACCTTGTATCGATGTCTTTCAAAAGGGCGAAGTATGCTCCGCTGCAGTATGACGATATTTTTTGCTTATGAGAGCCTCCCCGACCGTATCTCTTTCTAGATTCCAGGTTAAATACCAGCTGGAAGCATGGTGTAGCGGTCACAAGCACCTGAATGTGACTGACCGTAACAATGCGTTAATCGTAGTTTGTAAATTCCCGTAAACGCAGGTTGTTTGAAATAGACAAACACTATTCGTTAGAATTGTGTTTTTCTATTGTATGTACAGTTGTATCCCTGGATTGGAACCTGCAATATGTCATCCTCTGGCGCTTTAGTAAGACATATATCGGTCACTGTAAACGCCATCCCTGTCGCATCGTGACATATTGTCACATGCAGACACCAGTAGGTACCTATTAGTGGTGTCATTTTCCAAAAAATGTCTGACCGATACCGACCGAAACCGAAATTTGGGAAAAATTTCCGACCTAATACCGACCGATAACATCCCAAGCCAAAATT